ACAACAAGAGGAGGAGAGTTTAGTGTCGGAGGTCATGGATGAGTCTCCTCCATCATCCATTTTTTATTTGGATGACGGATAATATGACTCTGATTCCTGGTTTCAACCGTTGCGTATATTAGCTGCGACACATGAATCAAGATGCTATGACCGACAACATTTGATTGACAGATGACCGTTGATATATGATTGGCTGAATTTAGGTGTTCAGGCTGACATAGAACTAACTGGCCTGCAGAAGATAACGGAAAATCACAGATTTTAAGACATGATTTTTTTTTTTTTTTTAAATAGAGATTTTCTAAATTTTGGGACAATCTGGTTTGATAAAGAGAACATTTATAAACATGTTTAAGGCAGAATGATTTGACCTTTAAATTTGACTTCCCTTTGACTTTAACGGCTGCCATCCCATAGGACCTTAAAGCTTCTGTGTTTAAACTTTAATTGAACTAAAATAAAGCAGCTGTTTAATTTGTTCCAAGTTTCAATCATTTTCATCCATCTAAATATTTAAGTTTTAATGATCAGTCGGTCTGTTTACCTTCTTTAGAGCTGCTGAAAGTAGCGGAATCAGTCGGAGCTTCCTCTCTGCGGCGGAGTAAACAAACCAACGGTTACCATGGCAACAGCGGGTGGCGCTAACCACGTGCTGCGTCATTACTCAGCATTATAGGGATTTAATAAACCCTGAGATTAGAATTATTCCTTTGAATGTTAAACATGTCATCTTTGGTATTTCAGTTTTTCCACATCCAGGTCTGTAAATTTGCTAAAAACAAACAACCTGTTCTCAGAGTTTATGTAAGATTATTTTAGAGACTCTTTAGAACCAGCTCTAAAGCTATGAAACGAAGACTCTTATTTATATATATCTATATATAATCCCGTGTTTTGTTTTGTTTTTTTAACCCCCGCACCTGCAGACCGCAGTCAGCGGGATCCAGCAAACAGTTGATCCGACTCAGGGTCTCCAGATGTCGGCCAGCATCTCTCAGCTGCTCCCTCCTCTCACACCCAGTGGTGCATTTAGGGAAAATCCATAGATTCCTTATCACGTGATCAGATAAGATGAAACTAATATAAAATCATGCCAATAGATAACATCTGTGAGCCACACTTCTTTTTATTCCATTTTAAGCTGTTTTAACATTTCAAAGATATTTTAAAGACAAAAATTGGGATTGGGGGTTAATGGGTCACATGACCTAGAAGCTGAGAATAAAATTCACATTTTCTTATTATAAAAATCTTAAAATATATGAAAAGGCTTAAAATGGAATAAAAATGAGAGTCTTCATCAGGATAACATTGTAGAACAATTTGATACAGGTTTGGAATCAGTGGGCCACATGACCTGGAAGCTATTGAAGAATACTTGTAATTATTTAAAAAATCCCAAGTTTTGTCTTTAAAATATATAAAAAA